GTAGAATTTATTTTTATGGTTGGCAACACTGGTGGTACTGTCAGTGTCGCAAACGTCCGTCTTGTTGACGTTGCTATGACATGTGTTTTGTAACCTCAAATCACTGATGATATTGTTATTATTATTTATCAACGATCAACAAAAATCACACCAATCTGATTATCTATAAATACTTCACAGATGTTTGGCTTGCGACTTAAACTTAGCTTAACTTAAAACACACAAAAAGTCAAATTGTGCAGTTGGATACGATCCTGCGGCTTTAAATGACCACCTCGAGTGCGTAGCCAACACGCCATCATTACTACTTACTATGTCTGACAAAATAGTAGTTCTATTACAAACAAATACGAAACGACAGATTCGCTCATTACGAGCGTTTTGCATGTGTTTGAAAATTTTTCTTTAACCGTCACTATAAATCACAAATATAAAGTTTTTAAGTTTCTAAAGTATTTATTGTTTTATATTTCTATTTTTATTTGTGTCACAGTTTATCAATGGATATATAAGATGTATTTGATATTATTTTGGGATAAAATAGCACATATCGGTTTTATTGCTGTGGGTAGCTCACCGTAAGATTAACAATAATGCAGTCTACTTTGCGTATTATATGTCTTGATAACACTCTCACACACGTATTGAACAGTTTTCTCCACTTTTTTTGGTAAATCTAGAACGATACAGTTGAATATCTAATTTTAAGCAATTAAATTACGAGAGCACAATGTTCACATGACAGCGGAAACGTCAACTCTCGAGGTTGGAGGAGGCCTTTGCCGATTGGCAAACAGATCTACAAAAGATAAAAAAGCAGCAAATATTAGATTAAGTTTTACGTTTGCTTTAGAATATTGTTATTAGGTTAAGTCGATCTGAATAAAGGCTATTATTATTTATTATTATTATAACAACTGTCTTAAGCAACCAGGGTTGACTGGCAGAAAATGCCACATAACAATAAGACTGCTCTATGTGCCCTTCACATTAAGAAGATGTTAAATTTATGTTTTTATCACCAATGATGATATTATCTTAACTCGAGACAAATTAGTAACAAAGGAGGTACACATGGCCTAACAGCAATTTCAATATTTTATACACGAATTGCTGCTCTCAACACAAGACTCGCAGCTGTAATTGCTTTGTGGCTGCGTTGTTTGGCTAAGGGTAAAATGAAATATACTTACATTGCTATATGGTGTGATGTAATTAATACATAATAATACATCAAATGAGTTTTTCTAGGTGGTAGGGCTCTTTTTCTTTCTAGAAGTCCGTCTGGGTAGCTTCATCTTTCCGATAAATAGCAGTGCTTGCACTGCATGCACGCACGCACACACAAGGGCCTCACAGACCGCACTTACAAATGGCACGACATGGAACTGCGTGGCAAGACATACTTCAGCATGACGAAGAAAACAAGTCAAGACGCGATTGTGTATCGGGCGCTCGCGCAAGTCGCTGTGATCGCCGCCGCATCGGGCTAGATTCAGCCTTATTTCTATTCCTTAGCACTCACATTCATTTACCAACATAAATAAACCTATACGTTTCATGTGACGTTGCAGCGTGCCGCAACATCCCATGGAATAGCGTGACGTGCCACAACATCCTTTGGAATCCCGTGACGTGCAGCAGCATGTCACAGTGTCTTGCGAGACGTTTCGGTCTATTCGTGTCGAAATAAATGATTGTCGCATGACAACCAAATGAACGCATGCACAGGTGTACTCAGGCGAAATTCGGAGCAGGACCAATGGCTTAAAGTGCTTTCCGAGTCATAGGGGTAAAACAGCTCCAACTTCCTGACTCCAGGCTGCTGCTGAGATTTCTTTAGATCATTAATTCATTAATATAACATCGAAAATCTTTTAAATTTTTATAATAAAAACACAGATACAAAACTAGAGGAGCAAACCAAATTATCGCGCGTCGAAAAAAGTGTAACCACTATCCAACCGCGATGATGTAGCTTTGAAATTATTTTAAATAAACATATATCTATCTCACTTACACAAGCTGCGAAAACAATACCGTCGCTAAGATTAGACAAAGATGAGAAAGAGAGAAAGAGAAGACACACCAAACATGCAATGGCGGGTTGTTGTGGCTTACTATATGAAATTTAACCCAAAATACGCAATAAAAAAGAGTTTTTTTAAGCTGCAGTTAATTGTTTTATTTAAAAAAAAAGTATATTTTCTTATTAGGTGTATAGAAGATAGCATAACTGATGAAATAAAACATATTTTTTATAAGTATTTTTATTATACTAATAAATCAAACAATATAAAATAAGTAATACAATATATTTATTAGATCATTCATAAATAAACTAAAATAAGAATAATTTATTATTTTGTATGAAATTTAAAACGTAGTTTTTATTATAATTTCCAAAATATTTAAAATCAGTGGTAACAAATTAACTTACTCCATTAGTTATATAGTTTACTATTAATGTGACAACATTTAACGAAAAGTGGCAACATTTAACCTAAATCGCAGTATTCGATAATTTTATTTAATTGTTTTAAGTTTTTACGTTTATATGAACGCTAGAACTAAAACTTATGTGTGGAAAGTGATTCAGCATGATTTATTATTTTTTGTGACCTTGAATCGAATTCTTTCAATAAGCATTTACCCATAATTTGTCGCGGATTGTTCGGCTTAACTCTGTAGGCGTTACATTGAACACTGAACTGACGTTAGCTAGGCTTTGACCATATGTGCAGTGGCAACGCTTTGACGCGGTAATCACTTATCTAATGTAATAAATAAATCAATATACAACAAAACACAAACGTGTGCGTAATTCTTGTTCTATAGGTGACAGGTGAACATTGTGTTATAGCAGGTAATTACTTCAAAATAGCTTTACGCAGACTTTTTACAAAAATTAGTTTTGTTAACAGCTATGATAAATTTTTGGGTACGCGAGTAGAATTAACGATACAAAATTAAATATCAAAGCTTTTTTTCCGTTCATAAACTCTTAAAATAATCCGTAATATAGGTCCGTTGTTAATCAAATAAGCAAATGTTCCTACATAATTTTTAGTGAGTTTCAAAGATGGAGACATTATTGGATACGTATTCACAGGATATAACGATGATTGTTTACAGATGTAGAATGACGCAAAACATTAAATGATGGTTTTTAATGGTCCGTTAAAGCCTCGCTAAAATTTGAAACTGGCTCGACCGATTCTGATGAATTCTCAAACAGACAAATATTTTATGTAGGTCAATGGACCACAGCATGCACAAGACCGTAGGTGGACTGTGTGTTCATTTGTCATTGTTATTCTATAAAAATCCTATTCATTTTTCGAATAAACTTGATATTTACGACTTCTTTTCACATGTTAAATATTCAGATCCGGAATATTTTTGTAGGTCAACAACTACTTATACCGTTACAGATTTATAAATAACTACCGTAAAACCTGCCAACATTGGCCATATTTTGCACTTAATCAATTTTACTAAGCAAGTAGACAACAACATAGACTATCAAATTATATCAAGTATTAAATGGTTATGAGTAAGTACTTAAATTACTATCACGTATTGGTGAGATCAAAATTCTTAAAAAAAAGATCCATTTTTCAATTTAGTAATCTCAAGACTATTCAATCATCACGTTGAGGTGAAAGAGAAAACTCAAATTTATAAATAAAAATATATATAACGATAGGTACCAAGCTTAAAGTGTTTATTTAGGTATATTACGTAGGTACCTACTGAAAACAAAAAATAATAAATGAAAAACATACTTTAGAAACTTTAGGAAATGAGCGTGTAAATGACACATTCTAGTAAATACCAAAGAAAAACAGCAATATACTTTTTGTGATAACACAAGATATAATATCAAATTCTTAAAAGTACACAGAATCCTTATCACACATTAATGCATATTCTTCAGGACTTTCATTGAATTATAAAAGTTCTAAAATTTTAACAATGTTACTTTCTGGTACGGCTATATCTCGACCCAAGAGCTTAGGTTTAATAAATTTAATATTGTTACGCGCTCAAGTCGACGATACACTAGCGCCATCTAGTGTCAGGAACGAGAGCGAGGGGAGCATTAAGAAAATGACATCACAAATCACTCAACCGACAGCGCCACCCGAAGAACTAAGTTTCTAGAAAATCTACACTCGCACACTCGTCCCTTTGCGCGCATTTACTTGAATATTCCGGATGCTTCTTTGCTAATTTAAATAAATAGGCGCTGCAAGATGCGATCGGGGCAGTATTGGAATTGGCGACACAAGCGAAGCTTCGGAGCGGAATAAAGTGAATTAGTGTGTTTAATTATTAGTGTTTTAAGTTTTTATTTGTGTAAAGTAAATTAAAGTGTTAATTTAGGTAATTTTATCGGCAATTTTTATTGTCACGAACCTCTAGCTCGTAACAATATCATCCGAATCCTTTGTTTTATGCATTTGTAATAAGATATATTAAAAGTTTTTGAATTGTCATTAACACTTTCAATTAATTCTACATAGTACTTCCATTTATTTGACTGATAGTATCTTACCAACACTTTCTCTCCTAGTTCATAATACTCTTTTTTCTTTGAATTCTTGTCAATTTGTATATCTTCTTTTATTATTTGTTTATCCACTTTTCTTCCATATTTATAGATTCATCAATAATTGTAGACTCTTCCATACTTATTTCAAAATTTGTAACATCATTAAGTGCTTCAATTATGTCAGAATCACTATGGGTGCTAATCCAATCTTCCTCAGTAGTTGTAGAACTATCTAGAGATTTTCTTGGTCTCTTAACTGGTTTGACGTTTTCCTTTTTGACAATTTTTCTCAAACGTCGTTTTTTTCTTTCTTTTTTTACTGCTAGTCTTCTCTCTGCTATTTGCAGAACAACTCACAACATCCCTAATATCCTCATTATCGTCACTACTTAAAATACCATGAACGTTAATATTAAAAGCAATATTATCTATTTTTCTTACCTTACCATCCGTGAAAATTCGTATTTGGTTTTTCCATGATAATATTGCGTTCTGAAGGAAAAGTTTGTGATAAAATGTTAAAGCTTGTATCAATTTTTTTACAGTGTTTAGTTTTAGTTTTTGCAATAGGCTCAGTCTTATGTTCTGGTAAAATGATGTCGGATAGAATATTTATCTTTTTGGGCTTGTCTTGGTCTTTTATCGAAATCACGGGTAAATCAGTTTCAAATACTAAATCAGTGTTTCTTGTGGCTTCCATGAGACCCGATTTTTCGTTTAAAATATAACTAATGTCATAATTATAATTTTTATCAAAATTCTCGAGTGAGAGACTTGCGAGTGAGGCAACAGGATCTACCTTCGTGAGTGTCGTAGTACTCTTGGGTGACTTAACTTTGCCTCGTACATTCGATTTTGAGAGTTGGGAAGTCAGCAGTAAATCATCGACTGTTACTGATTTTCCAGGTACAGTCATAACTTTCTTGTTTCTTTTTGTTATCATAGGATTTGGCTGCCTGATCTGCTTTAAGTAGTCTAGCAATGCATTGTCAATCCCATATGATGCCACATCTTCTTGATACTCTGGTACACGCTTCAGTACTTCTCTTGGGTTGAATGGGTAGATCCCCGTTGTCTGAATCCGCTTTTGATATTTTTAGATATATTAATATATTTCAACTTGATCAACTAAAGAATGTAAAAGTTTTGGGAAATGATTCTTATTCAGAGTAGTTTGGTTGGGATTTTCCATCTTGTACTTGAGTAATATTGCTCGCCACACTTTTTTAAGTGGTGCAAAAAAAGCGACGTCAAGGGGTTGTGTTATGTGTGTCAAGCTATTAGTTAGTGAAGTGAAGTTAGTGAAAACAAACTGAATATTGTGACACTCACATAATTCAATAACACTCACATTTAAATGGCTTGATAAATTATCGCATATAATGACCTTTTTACTAGGTAAAGACTTTGCCCAATCCATAATAGTTGTGTTAAAGTAATCTTCAAAAACAAAAGAATCAAACCACCCAGATCTTGTGCGGTTATACCTAGTACCACGCGGTCCGCCCTGTATCTATTCAGAATATAAATTCTCTGCCTTATAGACAACGTAAATAGGTAGCAAGCTCCCGTTCGCTGTAACCGAGAACATCAGCGAAATGGCTCCTTCAGTTGAATTGAGCACTCGCTCGGGATATTTTACTCCTCGCCTTAATATACATTTTGAAGATCCTGGATCATCTGTTAAATTTGTTTCGTCAAAATTGAGTATATTTGATGGAGCAACATCTTTCTAAGACTCTTCTAAATTTCTAAAATATTTCATGAACTCATCAACCCCTTTCTCAGCTCTATTTTTTTAATATTCTGCGTGCTACGAACTGACAAATCTGATGAATGTCTTGACAAAAAATTATCAAGCCATGCTTTTCCAGGAGGTCCTCCGTTAAATACATCCTCGCGACCATTATTTTTCAAGTATTCAAACACGACGAGGCGAAGATCCAATTTACTAAGTGGGCATCCGAATTCCCCAGCAGCAATTAAAACTTTAATAAATTTGGCTTCTTCGTCATCAGATAATCGCGTTGGACATCCGACAGACTTTGTATGAGACTTGTTTACTTTATTTAATATTGTCTGTTTTGGAATTGCGAATTGTCGAGCCGCCTCTCTTGCTGATATCTGTTTTTTTTTTCTAACAAGATCTACATCTATTTCAAGCATTTCATTTGAATAATTTTTATATTGCCGGGCACCAAGGCGCCTGCGACTTTTTCTTGCTTTTTCTGATTTTGGCTTAGATGTATCCATTCTGTAAATATATATGGACATAAATAATAAGCAAATATACATATTTTAAACTGTATTCTAGATACTATACCAAAACTATTTGTAAAACTAAGTTATAAGCAAAAAGTATCATCAACTCATGAGTAGGTAGGTACCGAATTCTAAAATTATCAGTGGGCAGCCCTAGTATTATTTTTCTGTGGCCAAAGTTAACGGCACATGTTTGCTACAAGTGATTGTAACATTGTCCATTATAATTACTGATTAATAGAGGAGTCATATTAATTTGAGATGTACACCATATTAAAACCAAGATTTCACTTAATAACATATCAAAAATTCCACTCACCTGGAACATTTTTCAAGCGCGAAAAAGCTTTATACTCGGGGAACAATTTGGGACCACCGGCAGAGACTCCTATTTGACGACTGTTGACAGCCAACTGAGTGAACTTAGTAACCGAATGTGTGATTGGTATTGCCAGAAATATATTCTATTTTCCACAATATGTTGTAAAATGTTGCTATATGAGATATATTTTTTTTACTACAGCATTTTTGTTATTTTTGTCAAGTGGCCAATGTTAGAATTAAAAACCAAAGTTGGCGGGTTTTAGGTACTTTAAATACTTACTTTCAATTGATAATAATACCTGTTATCAATTAAAGAAGCTTTATTCTGAGATATCGCTGTGGAAGTGGGTATTCCAACTCACTTGTTTTGAAGACGTCTAAGGAATATGCATGTAAATTATTGTAAGCATTACATCTTGGAGACAATATTTCGCAGAATTGATAACGGCAGCAGCGGCGTCCACTACGCCTTATTATCTCATGGGTGTCAGATCGTAACTTAGAAAAAAATTCAAAATACAGCCACACAAATTTGTTATTTTACGTATCTTGTAATAACGTGTACCTTACCACATACTCTATTCATAATACAGCTGCAGCATGGTTAATCACGTACAAACTTAAAGTTAAGAAGTAACTACATGTTGCCTTTTTGACATTTGGAGTTTTCTTTATAGAAATAAGGGTGACAAACGAGCACTCAGTCTACCTGATGGTAAGTGGATGGTGTAGCTCGTTAACATTTCTGATTAAATTAGAATCTAAATACAGATATGTTGTCATACTTAAGGACTAAGATGGAATGCCTCTTTCAGTAAAAAGGTTCTCCAGTTCTTGTACATCGTACAGCAGGTTTGTTTCATATAGCTAGTGATGTATGACTACAATTTTTTTTTACTTGTAAAGATTTGCCGTATTAGTCATCAAGGGTGACAACGAAAATGATGAACACTAACTTAACTATTATAATATTAAAATAAAAAAGGCAAGATAAAGTTGTATTGTGTAAATTAAGCAGCCTTGTGAACGCAAAGTAAGCAGAGAACTCACTAGGAGGAGGGATTTGTTTTCCATTTAAGAGTTCGTCGGGAATGGTAACCACTCCCTCACTTTTCTCCAAGGCCTAAAAGTACTGCATACATTACTGCGATCCGGCATAAAAGGTATAGGAAGCCAATATATTTATGGACTGTTGAGGCAATCCTTTTACATTTGATTGCATGGCTCGGCGACATGGATATATTCTTGTCATAATGAAAACGTTATTTTCTCTAGGAATATTTGTAGCGCTTTGCATTTCAAAGTAAGTCTACATGTTTGGACAAAAACGCAATCAAACCCATCTATGAAAGTCCCTTAAGTTATATAAAAACGGTAAATTAGATTATAAAACTGTTCATATTAAAAAAAGAATGAAACATTGTAGAAACGAAAGTACCAATAAAACAAAGGCGCACTGTTATCGTTATGCAGAACACTACGATCCCTTTAACAGTTTAGTAATATATTTTAATAAAAATTTAAAAATCCGCTTGTTCCAACAGTCCAGCAATGTTCTTTTTTTTTAGAGAATTCACAAATATTTACCTATACTTCAAATGGATTCTCCGTATCATCTACAATATCTTTTTAAATATTCTCTTTAAGCTTTGCTTTATTATACGTTGAGCCTGTACGAGTATGAATATCAAGAATTTGTTGATAATTATATTTATTGATTTAATTTATTAACTTAAATAATCGTATATCAAAATAACCAATATTGAATACGATTATTTACGTTAGTAAATTTTATATTTTTTTATCTCACATAGTTCTATTGTGTGTATTTCAAATGTGAGTGTAATTGTGTACACATGACGAAGTGAAACTTCTGTACGACATATCATTGTTCTTTCATTTTATATTTTACATTAGTTGGTTAAATAATTGTGGCCCCGGTGATGACAAGAAAACGTGACGTTTTTGATTTTTAATACCGTGCTATATACCGTTTCTCCACTACGTCGATAAAGAAGTTTCAGTTAAAAAAAAAACCTGTTATATCTAAACCCGGAACAATTAAGCAATCATAAATTATACAAATACTAACCTAGTACGTATCTTTATTTTTGTTGTATATTTTTAAATTTTCTGTTGCAGTCCTGAGTCAGGATGTTGATGGGCTTTCACCCTCTTATCTTGGAAAGCACAGTTTACGTATTTACATGAATAATTACGAGCCACTTAACGACACTCATAACACAAAAACTACTAAACCTACACGCTTGTTATTTAGCAAACCTAATATGATTTCCTGGAAGACCTAGAAATTCAAATTTTATAAATAAGCCTATTGTGGTTCTTTAGGTATTAAGTATCTAATTAAAACTCACTCATAGAGAAACCCAAATCATTTCTAGGTTTCTTAGAAATTTAAAATTTGGTATCAAGCTATATTGTCAGGCATACAAAAGAAAAAATGTGAAATCTGCAAATAATCGATATTCGATATCGAAAAAGTTATTGGTGCGGCCAATTTCGACTACTAACCTAACCTCACTAATAACTTTGATGACTTTCAATTCTAATAATTAAAATAAAATTAAAAAAGCTGAAGCTTAAATTCAGGAATAAACGTTTAATTTCATGCATTTATTTAAATTAACAAAAGGTTAAAACTTTTGTGAAATGGGGATTAAGTTCGGTATAAACAACTTTCTGGGTTGCCGCCTTCTCAATAAAAGAGTTGAGATCTAAATGGGCGCCTAGCTCGTAGCAGTTCCGAGAATATTTTAATATTTTAAAGATATCATTCCTTATACAAATGCTGCCGTAAAAGTATAAACTTTTCTCCAAGTTTATATGAGATCAATTAATCTATTAAATAAAAAAAAAACGTCTAGCAATTGACGCTGCGTCAGCTGTGCGTAACTTACAAAAAAAAATCAGTCACACTGAGAATCTTCCGTTTTCCCTGAAGTCATCTAAAATTTGATCTCCGTCAATAACTTTCAATTGAAAGTTGATAATTAGGCATTCATTCATTTTTCTACAAGCAACTCAGTATGCGTTATCAGGTCCAGGTATTTCTTAGTTTACTAGATGGTACAACTCTACCTATAAGTACGTCTCTAGGTGCACTTTCGTATGCTAGTGTGAAGAGAGCCAGTTTAATTACTGGCTGTGAGTCATTCCATCTTAGTTCGCAGAGTTAACAACGCATTTGTAGCCTGTCTGTTCTGTTCGCTTCTGTTCTGATCGACGATCGACGATCTGTTTGACGTTGTTTGCAGGTGTCCATGAGCAGCAGTAGATACCATTAAGTTGACCGTATGTTTCTTTTAAACTTCAATTTAGCAAATTACTTCATAAACGTTTTACTTGAGTCAGATTCAAGCAGACGACGCAGGAGCTTTATTCTGTCATTACGAACTGAACAATAACGAAACCCATTTTACTGAAATAGTAATTTCCTTCAGAAATGTTTTCACTCGCTATTTTTGTCACGTTCAAAACATTAGCTGGGCAGAATACGCTGCAGTGAATTTCGTCATACTTTTCAGTAAAAATATTCATATAATTATGTTAGTCAATGATAGTCCTGTGAATAAAGGATATCAATGAATAAATCCACCTATAATTGCAAATACAGCTCCTATAGATAAAACATAATGAAAATGAGCTACAACATAATAAGTATCATGTAATGTTACATCAATAGAAGAATTGGCTAAAATTACTTACTCCTGTTAATCCTTTAAGAACTGTAAGATAAAAATTACGTTTTACTAGTCACGGAATAAAACTAATTTCATGGATTTTATACCATTTAATTATAATCCTTTTAATTCCCGACGCTTTGGTCACTTTCCAGCACTCAAGGTCACGGTGGGAACTGGAACATACTGCTGCATACGGCTGGGTCTACCATCTGCTTGCGATCCCATAATTTATTTAAATAAATCCAAATGCAAGCATACGTTTGGCATAGCGTAGATCGGACCAAAAATTAATAATTAAAAGTTGAAGGTACGTATAGCCTTCGTTGACTATAACATGGGACGTAAAACACCTCAGTCTCCCTTGTGACTATGGGTACTGAAAAGTGCCTGAAACACCGGGAGATAAAAAGTCGCATAAATACAATAAAACATTATGTTTTCTTAGGTTCCAAACTAATAACAACATATTGAACTTACAGTGTTAATTCTAAATTAATTGAACAGTAAGGGAACCTGTTCAGTGACGTCTTCATGATTGCGGGGGTGAAACCTGGAAGCGATTGCCAAGTAGTGAGAGGTACACTGAACCTAAACGTTAAGTAAGAGAGGTCACGTCGAATGAAGTCAACGCTCCGTCCCGCTCTTGCTCACAAACCCCCGAAAAATTTCAACTCGAAATACAAAATCATTTTCACTGTCTGGAAGACTGTAATGACGATGTTAATGAAGTTGAAGAAGAATGTTAAGCTCGTGGGTTTCCACGAGCTTATCTTGTATATGTCCATGTGGTCGCAGCTAAGTTCAGCAAGAACAGTCGTCGCAGAAGAAAAAACTCTCTGATGACACTCTTAATCTCATGGCTGGTAAACGGAAAATGAAGCTGTGGTCTTCTGCAGACTTGACAGCATACAGGCAACTGAACTGACAGATCTCCAAATGTATGCGGCAGGACTTCAGTTACTT